TAATATCAAATCATTCACTAAACATTATAATTATGCTTTTTATAAATTCATTATCTAGCTTAGTTTGGCCATTATCCCATTAAGCACATAATGCAGCTGCACTCGCACGTTCTCGGCTCTGTCAAGTACGTTCCAGGAAGAGTATTCAGCTCACTGCTCACACCTGCCTTACTTGTTGCAAGGTCCTGACCAAGTGTTTCCACGTGTGAAGACAACAATGCAGCACCTGTGGACAGGAGGACTCCGTCTCCTCTGCCAAGGCACTCAGGGCTTTGTCCCTGGTGACAATGTAATTTAGAGACAGCACGTTCCCACTTTCCAAGGTCTTGGTCTGGACAACAAACTACCTAACAAGTCAGCATCACTGTCACTGCTCACACCGTCTGTCAGCAGACTTCTCAAAGTGCAGGTGAGTGCTGCAGGGCCTTGCACACCTGCACAGCAGCCGAGGAGGAGGAAGGGGCTGGCAGCGCGCCCTTTCCAGGCTGGCTGATCCTGCAGGAAGGCAGATCCCACTGAAGACTGGCTCCCGTGTACATCAACCCTGAAGGGACTCTTACTTCTCCAGGCCAGGGAAAGTTTCAGAAAGCTCAGAAACGCTTATAAAGCTGACATCCACAATGCTCAAAAAAACAAAAACAAAAACACTAAAAAGTTCCAAAGTCTGAATGTTTTTGAGTGTTGACACGATGCTCAAAAACTTGTACTTTAAGCATGTTAGATTTTAGATGCTTGGATGGATAATCAGTGAAGCTTATGCTAGTATTCTAGAGTTCAAAAGAATTCAAAACCTTGCATTTCAGATAAGGGATAATCCACCTGTGCTACATTAAACATTTAGTTTATAGCTCCACACCAGCCAAAGAAATAAATATAGTAAGTCTGTGTACTCAAAAGCACTCGGAGACAGCATCCATTTTTAAAAACCATATAAATAGAATAAACTCCAGGCATTACTCTTTTCACTCCACAGAAGGATGATTTTTTTTTTTTTTTTTTTTTTTTGCAGAACTGGGGATTGAACTCAGGACCTTGCGCTTGCCAGGGAAGCACTTATTCTACTGAGCCATCTCCCCGGCCCCAGAAAAATGATTTTGTAAGACCAGCCATCAGAAGAAATGATAATTCCTTAATGAGGTTTTACTGATCTCTTAAATGAAGTCTTATTTTGTTTTTGCAGTGGTGGGGATTGAACCTGGGCCTCACATGGTAGGAAAATGTTCTACCACTGAGTCACACCCTGAATAGAGTTTTGTTTTTAAATATACTTAATTATAGCAAAAATTTTGTTACTAGCTAAACAGTGTCACCCTCAGAACTCCCATGTTAAAGTCCTAACACCAGTACTTTGTAATGTGACTGCAAGTGTAAAGAGGGCTTTTAATGGGGTGATTAAGTTAATGTGAGGCCACACTGGTGGACCCTCATACAGAAGGACTAGGGGTCCTTATAGGAGAAATTAGAACACAGGAATGAAAGAAGGCCCAGAGGAAGTGAAGTAAAATGGCAGCTACCAACAGAGAAGCAAAGAAGCCGAAGCCTCCAACAGGCTGATCTTGCATTTCTCATTTTCCAAATCATGAGCAGATACATTTATGTTGCTTTCTCTGTGGTGCTCTGTTATGAAGCCCAAACAAACTAATACATATTTCCAAATAGATGTCTGAAATTCATTTGTAAATGACAAAAACTTAAAACTAAAACATCTGCATAATTCAAAGTGAATTTCTGCTGGTTTTTCAAATAGGAATTTATGTAAGAGTCACTTTAATGTTCAACAAGAGCATGGTAGTTTGATCTCATGCAAAAATAAAAGTATGAGTGGATGCAAAATTCAGAATTTGAGTAGATACTGGATCTGTCTAACCCTTTGCAAAGTCCATATTAATCTGCCTAACTCAGCAAAGCAGTATTTTGCAGATGATTAATGCATATAAAATCATACCCAAGCAGCAAACAGAAAGGCCAACTGGGTTCTACTGTAACACAGTACAAAAACTTTACCGATCTGGTTTCAGATTCCACTTTGCAAAAGCCTTTTAACTATTACTTATTGAATTTTGGCATATTCACAAATACTTGAAAAAAGTTACTAAAACATTCCTTTTCCAGGCCAGGGAGACAGCTTGGTGACTTAAGTGCCTGCCTGGCAAGCACAAGGACCTGGGTTCGACTCCCAGTGCCACATGCTGCGCTGGCCCTGAAGCCAGGCATGGTGGCTTTGGGGAGGCTGAGATAGGAAGATCACTATGAGTCCCAGCTGTGTAGTGAGACCCTTTACCAAATAAATACATTTAAAAAATTTTTTTTAAAAAACACTACTTTTCCAATTACAGAGCAGCTGGATCTCTTTACACATGTTAAATAAAACACACTGCAAGACTGCAGAAACATGTGAGAATCCAGCTATTTTCTAAAGTTCATCATTAAAGATCACAAAATTATAAACAATGATATCATTTAGTGGTGCTTTGTTTTGGAAAATAAACATTTCATAAAACTATGTTACTGATGTAACATGCAACTGGTTTACTACTTTATAATGAATTTGTAAGTTTTAAGATAATTTCTCTTTTAAAAAGAATAATGCACAATCTTTAAAACAAGAGCAGGCAGAAAAACAGGGAAAAACAAAATAAAACAAAGTGAAATGTAAAAACATAGATGATATTAATCTTCTAGCATGAATAATCACTTTACATGTAAATAGTTTAACTCAGTATCTAATACAGTAAATATGATAGTCTATATACACAGAAACTCGACTCCCAGGTTCTAAACTAATTCACTCCCTCTTAAGACTTCCATGCTGAAGACCTAACTCCCAACATGACTGAGCACTTTTTTAAATTAAAAACAACAACAACAACAAACAGTTGAATGGACAGAGAGTAAGGATGTAACTGAGGCTAAATCAGAGTGTGTTCCCATCCCCAGAATTGGTGTCCGCCTAAGAACAGGAAGAGACAGCTGTTTTCTTGTCCAGGCTGACAGAAAGGCCAGGGAGGCCACAGGAGGTAGTCCTTCCTACCCAGGGCCAGGCTCTCTGGGGGCTACTCTTTGAAATTTCAGCCTCCCGAACAGTGATGAAATTAGTGCCGGTCCTTTATGCCACTCACGATGTTTCTGCTATGCATCCCTAAAAGTCAAACAGTTCTCCATAATGTTGACCCCAAGACCAAAATCTTGAAAAGCACTGAATCAGACAATAACCATTTAGTTGTATAAATTAAAATGTGCTTAAACATTCTTGATAGTTGTAACTTGGAAAAGTATCGTAGTTCTCATTAGCCAAAATAGAAAGTAAAAAGGACACAAGGTCATCCTTAGGATAACCTTACTTTTACTTGAGGCATGTACTTATATACCACTTGCATGTATATGCAAAAAGTAAAAACCAAAGAGAAAAAATTAACACAGATAACAGAGGCACCCATTACATTTTCAGGTTAACCAGGCTGATGCTTACAGTACGTGCTAAGTCTATTAATTTTTTTTTTTTAATTTAGTATAGGGCCTACAGGGTCTCACTACATAGATTGGACTCGTAGTGATATGCCTGTGTTCAGCCCCCCAAGAGCTGGGATTATAGGCATATGCCACCACGCCTAGTCTCAATGGACATCTCAGTGTGTCCTGGGGGTGGGGCCGGAATGGCAGGCCTGGGGATTGAATCCCCCCCACTGCGTCTGCCTAAACAGGCACTTTAATCCACTGAGCTATTTGGTCAGCCCTTCACTTTCCCTTAATAAAATAAGAGGAAAAAAATCAAATATTAAGACGTAATCAAATCAATAATTCATAAATACACGGCCCGGGGAGATGGCTCAGTGGAATAAGTGCTTCCCTGGGAAGTGCAAGGGCCTGAGTTCAATCCCCGGTTCTGAAAAAAAAAAAAAAAATAATAATAATAATAATTCATAAATACACTAATTTTTTAACCACATAAAACTTAATATATGGAAATAAACCATTAATAATTAGTCATTGGTAATTACAAACTATTTCAGTGCATGCAAAAATATTTTCTCTTCTTCCAGTGACCATAACAAATATGGTAACAAGAGCTGTAGATAGTCTCTGGCAAGTGCAAAGGCCTGAGTTCAATCCCCGGTTCCACCAAACAAAACAAAACAACAACAAAAAAAAAAGAGTCGCAGATAGAAGTCATGTAAGAATGAAAATTTAATTAGAAAAGAACTTCTAAGCAATAAAGTTATAAAAGCATAGATGAGATTAAAAAATGCATTTACCTCAATGAGTTTTTTTACTTTCATGGACACAAGAATGTTCTTGGCTTGCCTTTATTAGCAAATAAACTGCACACAACAAATGCAACAGTTTTATGTAGAGCAATACTCTAACCTAAAAATTAAGCAAGATGCTTAATTTCCAATCTCTGAAGCTCAAGGATACCATTCAAAATTACACTTAAATTTTTTAAAGATATTTATTTGGTACAGGGTCTTGCTACACTGCTTGGACTTATAGTGATTCTCCTGTCTCAGCCTCCCCAGCACTGGGATTACAGGCCTACATCACCATACCCGGTTTTGGTCTCCAGCACAGTGCACTTGGGCTTTTGGGGCCAGCACAGCATTGTACCAGGGATTGAACCAGGTCCTTGCACTTGCCAGGCAGGTGCTTAGACAGCTGAGCTATCTCCCTAGCCCCAAAATTACATTTAGTAAATTTTTTTTCACATAACTCTTTATGAAAAAAAATACTAACTGAACTTGTGTATAACTTTTTTCTTGGTTTAATGTTTACATGAAGAAATAATTATGCAGAATTTTGGAAAAGTATAATCAATCCATGGGCATGTATCATTTTTATCTTATGAGTTTCTCCATGTTTCACCTACTTCATTCCTTATTACATGCTGTGAAAAGCAGTAATAGTTCTTACAGCCAAATATCACTTTGTAAGATACCAGGTGGCTTTCAATATTTACCATATAAGTCATGCATGAAATTTAAACATTACAAAAAATGACTTACCAGTTGACACTCCTGAAATATGCACATTTTCAGAATGTTCTGCAAGAGCGCCACTTCCTAAAATTAAACATAATGAATAAACTAATTTCCAAGATAAAACTTACAAAAACTTTCAGATCCTTCTTTAAAAGGCAAATAGCTATGTAGAACTACATTTAATATTCAGAAACTAAAATTTGTGAAGTAATATTTAAAATACTAGGAAACCCCAACTCCTAACAGTAGTAGTAAAAAATGAAACATTTTGAAAATCACAATACACTGTTAAAGGTCAAATATACAGATGTGATTAACACCAAAAGAGCTACCACCTAGTAATTAAAAGAGAACTCAACATTATTACCAGAAAAGAGAACCATCTATTTCAATAGCTTTCTCCTTTCCACTGACCAGAAGTAACTTCTTTCTACCCAGAAATTACTGACTGTTCTGACCATTACTGACAGTTCTAGCACTGATTCCTGAGTCATGCTGGATTAAATTCAATATTTCTAGTGCTCTGACTTCACCTCTCTCCTTATAAACTTCTCTCTCATTTCTCCCTTTGTCCTTTGTAGCTACTTTGGGTGACAGTGTGATACACCTGTGTCCTCTCCATGCCCAATGAGCCCTGTCCTCGTCAGCAAGTCACTGCTTTGAGCTAGTCTGCTGTGTTTGCGGCTCTTCATGCCCCCCACCCCAGCTGCTATGCAGAGGGCTTGAGGATGAAGTGGCCGCTCAGTGAGTGCGACGCTATGGAGGGTCCAAACGTGGGCCAGGAAGGGGATCGAGCGCAACCCGTGAATGCTGTTCTTTCGATGGTACTGATTAAAGCTGGTGATTGTCACAATGTATTCCCTCTATGACCAGGTTAAACCTATAGCTCTGGTTGTTGGCACCCAATCAAAACAAAACAAAACAAAACAAAACAAAACAAAACAAAACAAAACAAAAGCATGTCTCTTACAGCAAGTAAAATCAGCCAGGGCTATAGTGTGATTACTCAAGGGCCACACATGCTGGTACTGTTTTTTAAAATAATGTCTTGCATTATTGTTTCCTAAATCTTTCAATCTTTTGTCACCAATGCTCACAGACTGAGCATGACAGCCTTGTGTCCTACTTTAGAAGTCCTTGATTTTCTATAAGTTGCTCCAGAATTGTGCACACAGAAACATTCAAATAACTTATTGAATGCCATCCTAATAAAAGTGTGGTTCTAACAGAACAGCTTTTATTGCCTCAAATGAATGTGAGCAGTGTCCCTTTATGTACTCATCATGTGAAAGGTATCTTTTTCTTTACTTACATTATGTGTAAAGGTATCTTTTCTTTACTACTTTCCTCTATCACCTTTCCTCCCTCCCTCCCTCCCTCCCTCCCTCCCTCCCTCCCTCCTTCCTTCCTTTCTTCGCAGTTCAGGCTGGCTTTCAGCTCACTTTGTAGTCCAGGCTGGTCTCAAACATGCAACGATTCTCCTGCCTCAGCCTCCCAAGTACACCGACTGCCTGCTACCTCCAAAGTTTTCTCTCTTGTTTGTTAGCTGGATCTGGCATGGCAACTGCTCAGGCATCCAGACACAGAAAGAGTTCTACTCAGAGGAAACGGACCAGGAGAAACTCAGGAGGCGTGGGCAGGACTCTCGTGGTGGCTGGAAGCAGAGCGAGCACTGCTGTGACTAGCAACTTTTCCTTTGCTGCAGCTCTCACCTCTGACTGCTGGAGTGCTGTAGTCGCCTCCCTGCATGGAGCTGCTCCCTGTGGGCACAGTGCCTGGTGCAGAGCCAGGGATGGAGAGCTGGCGACGAGTATGCGTGAGATGTCATGACGGCGACTACAAAATCGCACCCACTAAGCACTTAATAAAAGTGTCAGGCAAAAGCCCTGAGCAGGTATTTATTTCTGTAGTTCTGTAAAGTACATTACTAAAGAATAAAATAATAGTAACAAAACTACATTTTCACTAACTATTGCTGTACCCTTCAAAATGAAAAGAACTGCTATGCTTTCTCAGTTAATAATGACAAAGTAGAAAGGTGAAATAGTTGACTAAGCCATAGTTAGTATATAAATAAGCCGGATCAGAGTCACTTGATCAAGTGCGGTGTGCTAAGACCACGTAAGTCACAACTGCTTTTTCCCAGCATTGCTAAACACTATGTACATAGATCTGAAACTACTAGAACATGACTATCCATCTCTTTAACATACATTTTACTCATAAAAAATAGGTAGCAAATGCAAAGAAGCAGATTCAACGAAACACCTGTCAAAGTCAGCCAACGATTACAAATTGCTTTAACCCTTGCTAATCACAAGTACAAAAACAGGACTGGGTGCACTGGGATGCACCTGACACCAAATCAGGATTTAACAAGGTCCTCTCCTATCCTCAGTAATCTGGGTGTCCACCACAGTTTGGGCTTAAGCTTTATACTTCTATGTTCTACACAGCCATGAATACAAGGTATGTCATCTGTGGTGCTACCATTTCTGTGTCAACAGACCTGTCACCTTCACAAGTGGCTCCTGGAGAGGACTGGACCAATGGGGAGCTGTCATCAGCTAAATGTGAGCTTAGGAGGTGGGCCTGGTCTCTGTCTCTCTCCCCTCACTCCCCACCTGGCTTTCCAGTCGCATTAAGGGGGCTTTCTCCATCACAGCCTTCCCCATGCCATCCATACCTCGAACTAGCCCACCACAGCCTGAAACCTGAAATCAGGAGCCAGCTAAATAATTTCCTCCTTTAAATTGTAAGTGCTGAGAATTTTGTCCTACCAGTGGGAATTCTGACTAAATTCCCTTAGTCTAATATCCTTATAGTAGCATATAAAACTTTTGAGTTTTTTATTAGGTGTATTTTATACATTAAGTCTTCCCAGTGCCACACAGTCCAAAGGAAGCCCCTGCAAGGGTGGAAATGTTCGTACAGAGAGCAGTCTAGTACTAATTAACCCGACTATAATCTGAAATGGCTCCTGTGGCCAGAGGCTGCCATATTAAACAGACAGCTCTGAAACCAAGCATCAATTTGCGGGAAAAGCAGAGGATGAGGGACATTTTAGAATCACACTGTAGAACACTGCAAAATCCAGACTGAAAAATTCTAGAGGAGAGTTTTTTCAACATTTATATGGTAAAACTTTTCAAAAGGTTAAAAGGTTTGAGAAAGAATTTAAGAAATTAAAAACAGCTTAAGGGAACGATCAAATACTTACAAAGTGTGGGTTGTATGTGGATTTTAATTTCATAAACATTTATGACATTCATGAGATGACTATAAATTTAAATTTCTAAAATGAAGTCCAGGTACAACAATTCCTGGGGTGATGAATGATACATTTATTAAAAAATGAACACATCCTATCCCTTAGAACGGTTCTCTAAAATACTAATAGATGAAATAAATGATGCTTATTGTTTTCTTTAAAAGGAGTAAGTAGCAAGAGATGAGAGCAACAAATGACACAGGAGATGAGCTCTGGTTTTATATAGCTGTTGGGGGCCTAAAGGTTTGGGGTGTGGAATATCCATTATCCCATTTATCTTTTACCCAAATATTCAAAATTTTCCATCACAAGCAATATGAAAACTGGAAAAGACTCTCTCTGATAGTATATTATACTATTTATGTGAAACAGAAAATGCTATATAGATTTATACAAATGACTTAGGTATCTTAAAATATGTAGGTATCCTAACATTGGGTTTAACATCAGATATGTTGTTTTATTGCCCTCAGTATCGTAACCTACTGCCTTAAACACGTAAATCACATTAAAAAACACCTTTCTGATAACTTGTTACAGTTGTACGCTTTTTAATTTGAGCATTAGAAGGAACTTTACAGTTATATATAGAAATTATGTGAGAAGACAAAAACAGAAAGGACTCAAAACTGAGGTCTTAAAAGCCTCAAATTTTACACTGCAGCCTGACTATCACCTTTTATTTGTGATGATATATATCCAGAAAACAAAGCCAGGCAAAGCGCACATAAAAACAATTTTTATGAGCACATGTTTGTAGCACAAAGTGATTATAGCCATAGGTGGAGTTAATACATGTCTATACATTGATTCTTGATTCTTTCTACTTTCACTTGCCCTCCCCTTCCTCCATCTCTTCCTTTTTAACTACTAATATAAGTCTTACTCCCAAGACCCAAGAAGGCCTGCTAGAAGGCTAGGCCGAATGGCAGCGGGCTCATTTTACTTTGTTATGTGTCAGCAGATCTAAAATCAAAGTGTGCAGAGTGGCTGCTTTCTCATTCTCAAAACCACTGTTAACTCTTGGTCCTCTGTTAAAGGAGGTCCTATGGATCAAGTCCTCATCTACAAAGACTGCTGTCCTGTAACAGGGCCAGACACCACAGGTAGCGGCCAAGAAGACGCTTCAAGCTGGAGCAAAATTCTTAGCAGCAGCCAACCTTGACAGCACCCAGCTCTCAGACTTCCAACCTCCAGAACCAAGAGAAAATGATCTTCTACTGTTTAAACCACAGCCTGCCATTCTGTTGAAAACAAACTAACACTTACACTTTTTCCAGGTAGAGCTAGACCAAGACGTTTGAGAATCCTTTGAAAGTGTGGGGAGAATTCAGTGCATTTTTTTCTAGGAAAGGCTCCACAGTGCCTCACAAATAATTATGATTTACTTCCTGCCAAAAAGATTAAGAAATTGCTGGGAGATACATTTATATTTTCTTTTTTTTTAAAAAAAGTTTTATTGATAAACAGCAATGAGACAGTTTCAAATGTAATCAGAAGTACAGTTTCAACAAATAATACACTGCATATATCCTATTTACAAACACCATTAGAACAAATCATTCTATTCATTAAAAGAATGCAGCTATATATCTATCCTAACCACTTTGAATACACAGATACAAAATGGACATTCATCTGTATACCCCATTTTTTCTAAGTTCCATTATTGAATATTATAGGGGTGTAAACTCAGCAAAATATTCTA